AGATAGATAGATAGATAGATAGATAGATAGATAGATAGATAGATAGAAATGTAGAAATAAATTTACTCCAAACCAAAATGTGGGAAAGGTGCTGGCAATATCTTTGAAGGATAGAGTTGGAATAAGGGTTATTGGAAACAACCTTAATGCTTTAGTAGTGAATAGATGGTGGCAAGTGAAATAAAAGTAAACAAAAGAATACAAGTTTTAGAAAATGGACTGAAGAGACAGGAGAATTAGACACCTAATCAGAGACTAGACAGGGAATGTGGGACACTGAGCATTGAACACAAACAGCTGTGGAAGTCTTAGTGAAGACTAAAGAGAGACAGAAATGGGGGAGGAAAGGAGCAGAGGCAACAGGAAAGGAAAAGGAAGAAATAAGAAAGGAGACAGAAGGGATGAAGAAAGGAAGAGAAAAGAAGGAAGCAGGGAGGAAGGGAGGAAGGATACCATAGTTTTAGTTTCCAGCAGACAGTATCTTACTAAAAAGTGAAATCCAAAGTGAATATGAAGAGAGAAATAGTTTTAGCCAGTGCAATTGCCAGAAGATTGTGACAGAAGACGGGGAACACAGAAGAAAGTATCGTCACAGATAAGTTCTATATTTATATCAACACTGAGCTGACTTCTAAACAGCTGTGGGTCCTGGACTCCAAAGCATTGGAACACTGGGAAAGCGCTCTTCTTTGCCAAGCAGGCTGTGACACGATGGAGGAAAGCCAATTTGAAATGCTTCTATTTGAGTCTGTATACTTAAAAGTCAAGCAGCCTTGTATCTTGTCACCAGCGACCCACAATAAGAGTCTGGTCTTTGTCCAGGAAGTGTCTGCCTGTAATATTGTTCTAGTCATAGGAGAAAGACTGAATTAAGGAGTTGGGAGTGCCGTGTGGGAAACTGATCCGACTAGAGTTACTAGGGAAGAGAGGACCCTCCTACCTGGACCAGTTAAAGAAGTTCTCAGATGAGGACCATATCATGGCAAGCAATCACATAGTTCAGCTAAACTGAGTAAATATGAGAGGTAACCCAAATGACCATGATGACATGGTGACTTTGTGGTGACTTTCCCACTCACAAAGACATTTGAAGGCAATAGAGACTCCGACCTGCTTCCTTAAGGTACGTTCCATGCCACCCTGGGATACAGGGTCATCCAGGATGAATTACTGCTTGCTCTGACCAGGAGTAATATCCTAGGGTTGCTAGGCAAACAGCACAAAGGACAAAAAAAAAAAAACTAAATCCCACCCAGACTGCTCTCATCAGGTGGCGTGGAGCCAAAATCAGTTAGCGTAGATGCAGAATCAACAGTGCAGCACCCACCGCTGCTATCCTTAGAGGATGGAAAAACTGTCCTATTTAAAAAAAAAAAAAAAAAACTATAATTTTAAAAGTACTTTTTTCTTCTCACTTTTGTTTAATTTTTGGCATATCTATAAAGACATTGTCAATAAAACTGAGGAGTTTATTTACTTAATATGCATCTGTTTCTTGTCAGTTGTAGAGAATTTCTCTTTCCAGCCTCCTGTGCATTTATATTTACCCTTGGAATACTTTTTTCATTTACTATCTAAATCGTTGACACAAGATTTTCATTTTCTAATCAGCTTTTCATTTTTCTTTATCTCTTTGTTTGAGCCCAGGCTTGCTTAGGACTGGGATCTTTCTCTACTGGGATTGTGCATATTATCTCACCCTGCTACACTCTTGGCACTTAACTTCCAATACATTTTCTTTCTTCACCTTCTTCTTCATATTCCACTTCCATTTTCTTTTTTATTTTATCAGGTTTCTCTTTCTTATTTCGTATTTCTCATCTTTTTCCCTCCATAATTTTTATTCAATGTTTGTTTATTGAATAAATTTTTTCTTCTCAATTTTCATTTATCGGACTCTCCCTTACTCTTGTCTTTTTGCATCTTATTTACACCCCCTTTACTCTGTAACCTCTTCTTTTCCCATAGTACTACTTACTAGAAGTATTATTTCACCGACATATTAACCTTATTAGCTAATATATTGATAAAGTATTGTGTTTTCCTCTGGGTTTTTTGTTTGTTTGTTTGTTTTTTGTTAGTGGAGTTGTGGTGCTGATGGTTATCATTTGGTCATCACTCCAGGTCTGTACAAAGCTTGCCTATTGTTGGTTTATGTACCAGTTGTGGCTGCTACTACAGTTGATTTTACTTTTTCTGAGTAGTGTTGGCAAACAGAACCAGTGCAAGCACACTATGTTGAGTGTCTGACAAATGGAATTTTTTAGCAAGCATGTGTCACTTCATCCATTTAATAAAATATATTCTTAACCTATATTAGGAAACAAAGAGGGAGACAATTCATCAAGATATAAATGAAAATTTTGACATCCAATTTCATAAAACAAACTATACTGACTCTAATAGCGTAGATTCTAAAAAAATAATAATAGCTGCTTTTAGTATATATCTCCTTCCAATAAATAGATCCTCTACACACAAGTAAGTCGACTAAAAATGTAGTTGTTACTATAGACCAAATGGATTTTGAGGAATGCTTACAAGATATTCCAATATATATTCTCAGTGACCAAAAATAGATCTCAATTTCGTTTTTTGAGCAAGCCTTAAGAAATACAAGACAAATAACTGTTTCTTTCATTCCATCTAAAAATGAAATAAAACAAACAAATTAAGCCAGGCTTGGTAATGAACAGGAACTAGCTCTTGTAGACCAGCCTGGCCTCAAACTCACAGAAATCTGCCTGCCTCTGCCTCCCGGGTGCTGGAATTGAAGGCATGCGCTACCATTGCCCGGCTTGGTAATATACATTTTAATCCGAGTGGGGAGGCAGAGGCCTAGATCTCTGTGAGTTTGAGGCCAGGATTTTCTTTATAGTGAGTTCCACATGAGCCAGGACTACATAGAAAGACATTGTCTAAAAAAAAAAAAATAATATACAAACCACATTTACTATGTACATCTTGAACTCATTGGCTATCTGCCCATTAACATGGTGGTTTAAAATTGGGTAGTCAAAAATATACTGTAAAAGCACAAAACTGCAGTAGTATTTTAGATGTCATTTGTAAGTCATTAATTCAAATGCTATGTATAATTCTAAATTTAGGAATAGGTGTTAGGCAACTGACAAACTAAGAAAGGCATTTCTTATAAAATCACGGGACTTTTGCAGTAGCTCATAATGGAATAGTGATTAGACCAATTTATTATTTGCATTTTATTTCAAAATGTAGCATCAGATCCAGATGTGGTTGCACTCACCTTGATGCCAAAATTTGTGAGATAGAGGTGGTGAGTTTGAGACTAACCTGGCCTTCACAGAGATTTCCAGGGCATCTACACTGCATAGTAAGACCTCATCTCCAAAGCCTGAAGTGAAATAAAATATAGCATAAATAAATTCTAAGAGTATTAGTTTGTTACTGTACAGTTGCAATAATCCAAAATACCAAGGGAACCATAGATTACTAAAGCTAGTAATAAGAAATGAGGATGCATATTTGTGTGGTAAGATAACAGAACATAGATATGAAAAGACTAGAGAGAATGGGATTGATATATCCAAAACGTATTGTGTAAAGTTCTGCAAAAAAATAATATTAAAAGCTAAAAGATAAGATTAATCAATTGTGGAAAAGTTTAATGAAGAAAGCACCTCGTTCAATGTAACTCTAAATATAATGCATTGAAGAATGTTGTGAGATTCTCTAAAGGGGAGAATATTTACTTTCCACATTCAAAGAGATGGACAGATATCCAAATATAAAAATTAGACTACAAAGTTAGAATGTTATGTATTGTAATTTCTTACATAGTTCAAACAAAACCAAACACTACTTTTTGAAAAATGGATAAATTAGAGATGGTATGCTTTTCTAGCAAGCACAAATCTCTAGATTCAAAACTTTATACCAGAAAAAAAAAAACATAAAAGAGGAGGAGGTGTAGGTCAATAAGTAGTTTGCTTAGCTAGTATGCCCAGAGTCCTAGGTATGATAACCTACATGTGCAATCACAATCCTCCATATATAGAAAAAGGAGGGTTAGAAGCTCAAGGTCATCCTGACCTACATAGCAATTCTCAGGTTAGAATGGAGTACTTAACACCATGTCTCAAAATAAAAACATCAATATCAATAAAAATTGCCAAAAGAATAAATATTGTAATGAAAAAATCACAACCCTACATAAAAGACAAGATTTATTTTACATTTACTAATGCATTACTCAAAATAGATTTAAAAATGCCTTTGAATACTTGACTTTGGAAATTTAGTAATCACATTTCATTATTGAAATAAATTTTATTGTTTACTTAAGTCAAATGCCAGTGTATTCTGAGATACATATACATACAGAATATACATCTATATCTATCTATCTATTTGAACATATACATGTATACATATATAATCTCATTTTACTGCTTCCCCATGTGATAAGAACTCCTGTAATACACTATAATCCTCTACCGTAATTATGTCCAATAAATCTCTGCCTTCTTCACAACTATAAACAAGCTCATTTTCATTCTTAGACCAGTATCTTCCCATCATGGTACAACAGTAACATGACTGGTTCCTGCACTCACAGGTAAAGCATAGTAATTACACCTGCTTAATTCACCTTTTTTAAATATTGAAATCAAACACTACAGTGCAGATCTATAATCTCCACTCTTCTGGTAACTGAGGCAGGAGAATTTCAAGTTCATCATTCATCTGGGCTAGACTGCCTTCAAGGCCAACTTTGCTAACCAAATAAGGATCCTCCTGACTCAGCCTCGCAAGTGATGGAATTAGAGGTGTGATCAAATACTCCAGGGAACAAACCTTGCTTACACTGAAAATAAAAATTGTTGGGTATACCTTAGAGTTAAAGTATTTTCTCAGTTTGTAAAAAAAATCACTGATATATAACTTATTGGCATGTAACTATTATTCCGTGAAGCCAATGAAATCCCTATTTAGAAAGATTATTATTAATATGGTGATCCTAAATAAATACCTGTTGGTTTTAATTTTATTGGGTGGAAGAATGTACCTAGTTTATCTACTAGATTCCAGGTA